AAAAAAAAAAAAAAAAAAAAGTTAAATAGCATTTTGGAGGCTGAGGCAGGAGGATCACACCACAAGCTTAAGGTCAGCCTGGGCTACATAGTGAATTCAAAGCATCCTGAACTGCATAGTGAGGGCCTGTCAGAGAGGGCGGGGAGGGAGGGAGGGAGAGAAACTGACTTCCTCTATTACATATTAATAAACCAGGGGTGGAGAAATGTGACGTATTTATGGTGGTACACATCTGTAATCTCAGTCATACATGAGGCTGAGGTAAGAAGATCATAAGCTCAAGATTAGCCCAGGCAACTCAGCAAAACCTTGTCTCAAAAAAAATTAAGAGGACTGGGGGTGTAGCTCAGTGATCCCAGTACCTAAGAGGAGAAAAAGATGCTGTATTCTTTGAAAGGTATTTATTTGTAGTATGGCTTTTACTCTGGTTTTAATAAAATATAGTCAAGGATGCAAGAGTCAAGAATTCAGAAATTCAGAACATAAGTATATTTTCTACCACTCTTTCTCACCCCTTTAAGGTTTTCTTCATCTCCACCACAAGTAGACCGTTTCTTTAACACTGCTGGGATGCTGCATATGGCAAAGTCAGACTTGGGATGAGTAGCCTGGCTTTGCTGGGAAGAGTCTATCCTAGAAGAAGCCACCTCTCACCTCCAGGCCCCGCTGGATGTCCTGCGCTGACTCAGGACTTCATATGCAGCCTGGATCTCCAGGAAGTGCCTCTGGGCCTCTTCTCTCTGCTTCTGGTTGTGATCAGGGTGCCAGATCTTCACTAACTCCCGGTAACGCCGGTGTATTTCTTCATTTGTTGCCTTCTCTGAAAGGCCCAAAACCTTAACAAAAGCCAACAAATTGAGCTGGTGTATGCCTGTAATCCCACCACTGGGAGCCTAAGGCAGGAGGATCACTGCAAGTTCAAGGCCAGCCTGGGCTACATAGCGGGTTCAAGGCCAGCCTGAACTTCACAATGAGACAAGCTTGTCTCAAAAAACAAAACAACAACAACACCCAAAACCCAAAAACAAACAAACAAAGAGAAGCCAACAAATTAAGAGTCTCACAAGTTGTCAGGGTACCTGGGTCCCTTCCTGTTCGTTTGCTAAGTTAGGCCATTAATTTCTCTGGAATAGCCCAGCACCTCATTCTTTTGGGCCGGGGGTAAAACTTGGTGGTGGAGCACTTGCCTAGGATGAACAAAGCCCTGGGTTCAATCCCCAGCACCAAGAATAAAAAAAGAAGAATTCCAACTTTGACAAATCCAGGATTTCACACAAGGGCCAGAATTTGCCTTTAATCACAACTGCACATTTTAGTTTACTTATTTATTTTGAGACAGGGTCTCACTAATGTAGCCCAGGCTGACCTTGAACTCTTTGCAATCTTCCTGCCTCAGCCTAGCAAGTGCTGGGATTACAACTGTATGCCATGCTTGGCCAATAGTCCTAAACTAGAAACAACCCAAATATTAACAGGATGAATAGATTGTGGCATAGCCCTAAAGTAGGATACTATACAACAATGAAACAAATGATTTATAATTGCATGCAAGTATGAATAAACCTCAGTGTTTAATAAAAGACAGATACAAAAGAATATATACATTGCTGGGTGTGGTGGTGCACACCTGTATTATAGCATTTGGCAGAACTATGTAGCAAGACCTTGTCTCAAAAAACCTAACAAACAAACAAATATATACACTGGTTGATTCCATTTACAGTATTTGCTGTTCAAGAATGGACAAAACTTGAGCAAGTTTCAATCCCTAACACTAGAAAATAAAGAGGAAAAAAGAAAAGAAAAGAAAGAAAAAGAATGGGAAAAACTAATCTATAGTGATAGACTGGGGCTGGAAATGTAACTCAGCAATAATCACCTAGCATGTGTGACATCCTAGGTTTAATAGCCAGCACAAGGTGCATGTGTGTGTGCACACACATACACACACACACACACACACAATCTACAGTGACAGAAGGCAGAATAGAGGTTACTCTAGGGAAATATAGATGGGAAGGAACATAAAAGAAGCTTCTCAGTGCTGGAAATGTTTCATACCTTGGTCTAAATGGTAGACACATAAAATTGGTGCATGTTATATATGCTATACCTTAATATCCATACACATATTTTTTCTCTCTCACCATCAGTGTCTGTTGTACTTCACCCATTGCATGCAGAAGCACAAAAAGTCCAGGACTCACTTCCGGGACCCGGCCAGGGGACATGAGAACAGTACTTCCACATGGGAGAAACCAGCTCTAACAAGGCCCACTGGAACCCTGCAGCTGTCCCAGGCAGTGACAAGAGGGAAGAAAGCCAAACCTGGTATGCCAGCTGATGTTTCTCATCCTGAAAACTGGGAACAGACTCATAGAACTTCTCCCATTGCTGGAAATAGCTGCTGTGGAGGCCAGGATCCCCAACCAGGAGCCGCCAGATCCGAAAAGGCAGAAGGAGGACAGACTCAATGAGGCGGCCAAGCAGGGGGAAGAAGCTGAACCAGCTTAAGAAGGAGCCAAGGCTTTCTGCTATGTAGTTGAGGGTGGCAGCTGTGTTGCTCAGGGCACTGTATGCCAGCGGGCCTGTGAAAGCAAGGTATGCCAGGCCCAGCCGGTAGAGTCGCACACTGAGAGTCTCCGACTCTGCTGAGGATTTGTAGCAGCGATGCTTCTGGGCTGTGATGCTGGCAGCCAAGCTGATAGGCAGAATGGCTATGGGGCGGCCATAAAAGATGGGGGAAGTAAGGAATGCCACACCCAGAGTGCTTTTAAAGTTTGAGGTCTGGTTGCCAACAGCTGCCACCAGCAAGACCCCTAAGCCAACTGACAGTGGGAGGCCTACAATGTAGAAGTTGGCCATGGGAGAAAGACTAATCAGAGCCACAAGGCCAAAATAGATGCCCACTATCATCTGAGCTGCAAAGCGAATGGGACTCAGGGGAGGTGTCCCCTCATCTGGGCTTTGTTTCTGCCTCTGGCCTCTGTTGGCTTCTGCTACAAATCTTGGGAGCTTCCAGAACTCCCAGAGCCAACCTAGCCCACAACCCCCCAGGGTAAGCATCCACAGCAGGGCATGGCTGTCCCTTTCCAGGTATAGGTGGTGGAGGCCAAAAGGGCCCCCTACAGCCCAGAGAATATAAGTCACCAGGAGGCCCTTAGCCATTGTCTAGGATAGGGGCCTCAGAACAAGTCTGGTGGAACTTGACATTGCTCAAAGTGCAGAAATCTCAGGGTCCTCAGTGGGAATCATGGCCAGCATATCCACAGAGTTATCCTTAGACCCTAAGACATGGGGGGAAAAGTAGAATTGTAAGACTATATCCAAGTACCAACACAGTAATCACTTCCTTTTTCAATAACAGTTAAGTCCAGATCTACCTGAGTGTCGTTAAAATGACAGTTGTCCCAAACTCTTGTTCCAGTCCCTCAGTCCTATTCTTTTTTTTTTCTGTACCGGGGATCATACTTGGGGCCTTGTGCTTACGAGGCAGGTGGCACCACTGAGCTAAATCCCTGGCCCCTCAGTCCTATTCTTTACAACTACACCAAATTCAGATTTAGGAAAGAATTTTAAAATATTTTCATTGGGAAACTGATAACTCAGTGCAGGGACAAAAAAAGCAGAAGCTTACATTTCAGAACTCCCCTTAGCCACTGGCACTGGAATGACAGGGGTGACAGGGCAGGGGTGAGTAGGACGCCCTTTCCAAGATTCGCAAACATTTCCAAAGGCTTTGCCCACTCCACCCCCTTAGCTCCTCCGTGGCTGCTCTCAGTCACCCTACCCAGGTTTTAGATCCTTTCCAACCCTCCCATTTCTCCAGGCCAGGAAGTTATACCACAAGTCAAACTCGAAATGGGCCCTGAATTCTCACCACTTAAACATTCTGGTGGGCTGGGGGTTTAGCTCAGTTGGTTCCGCTGATCCCCAGTACCAAACAAACAACATTCTGGAAAACTTTTGGTCTAGACCTCATCACCCCACAACTCAACCCCCTGCTTCTGAGGCAGGCTTGGAAAAGCTCCGAAGCGTCTGGACAGATCCTCAGAACCAGATGCCCACTCGGCCCTGTGGGTGGAGCCGTACCTGGTGCCTGGGCTCCCAGGGCCGCGTCGGACCAGCCCTGTCCTTTAACCACGGGCTCAAAATGGCCCCTCGCACTCAGCTCCCACTTCCGTCCAAGTGGACTTTATCTCTGGGTCAGCTGTGTCACGGAAGTCGGGTCTCTCCGGGCCAGGCCCCTCCCCCAGCCCCTCGCGGCCCCATTGGGATCATTTCCGGCCCTGCCCTCAGGTAGCCAGCCTCGCTCCAGGCCAGCGGGTTTCACTCAGCTTTCTGGGGGCTTGGCGTCTCGCCTCGCCCGGGCCAAGCGCTCCTCCTGCAGTGTGGCACAGTGACCGCCAGGTGGCGCTGCCGAGTACAGAAGGGCGAGCAGGGCAAAGTCCCAGACTCATCCTGTCGCCAGGCGCTGGCACATCATCCCAGAGCAATCACTACCCGGGGGCTGTCTGGCAGGAGCAAGGTCGCCGTCCCAGCTGTGGCCCTAAAATTAAAAAAAAAAAAGTTTTGTGCCGGGGATTTAGCTCAGTGGTGCTGCCGCCTGCCAAGTTCAATCCCTGGTACCCACCTCCAAAAAAAAAGTTTTGATTTCCTCTTCATACCCCTACAAATGGGAGGCTGCACTGTCTCTCCTCACTTGGTTGCCCTTCCAGACGGCATCGGATGGTCCCACTTTCAGTTCCTAAGGCAGAGACACCCACCGACAGGCTGCAGGGAGGGACCCCCCTCTAGTTTGCCTCACTGCCCTGCTTCGGGCCTTTCAGTGAGGGTACTTCATATCTAGACCTGAGCCTAAAGAGCCCTTGGATCCACTGTCCTGGGCTCCAATCCTAGGTTCAGCGCCGTGACCTTGGCTAAATCATAACGCTTCTTGGGCCTCAATTTCTTCCACTGCAGAGGAGGGGCTTGGATCTCCCAGATCTCCCAGTCTAAATTTAAGGGAAGGGTGAGCCCAGTGGGCCTCAACCGGGCCCACTCCCAGCAGTAGGCAGTGCTCCCGAGTTCCCCCCAAGCCTTCTGCCCCTCGGTCCCCACTCTGACCGGGGGAGGAAATGCGGCTCCCCCCAAAGCCCTGTCGGGCGTGCTGAGCTCACTCGACTGGGAGGGGCCTCCGAGCGACGCCCCAGCCACGGGCTGCGAGCGGGGAGAGAGGGGCGCTGAATAATGAATGAGACTTAATTGGGCCCGCACTGCGCGGCAGCGCGCTAAGCTTGGCAAACAGCGCGGGCGGCAGCCGCGGCCCTGGACAAACAAACTAGCTCCGCGCGCTGGGAGCCGGATGGGGATGGCGGCGGAGGGGGAGGGCA